CTGTGCAGTCAGTTTAAGTCTTGCTCCCTCAATGAACACAATCTAGACACGGGACAGAAAACTATGAAAATCTGACAAACAAGGTTGGGGAGTGAAGGAAGATTAGTGAAGTCTTCTGAAGTACTAACGTGGACATGAAGACCAACAAAGTAAGTCCACTCTACAGTGGGACAGCTGGTCACGACGCCAATGGCTCACGGTGTCAGTGGACAGTGGCTTTCATGGTCTTTATTCCAGATCAGAATCACAGGAGCAGCTCATGTAAAACCACGAGTTCCAGCAAAACACCAAGAACCGCAAGCCCATGTGTTCAGGAATTATCTGAGTTATATCACAGGGAATTAGGTGGTATTAATTGGGAAACTGAGAAAGAATAAAGCTGAAGTTTCACAAGAGTGACTACCAAACACAGATTCTGCACCTTTGTCCTAAGAGATTGTGAATCGGGAGGACTGGGTGAGGCCCAGGAATTGGGAGTCACTCAGATGCAGGTTGGGCCATGGACAGGTGCTGAGACACAGCAATGGAATGAACCCCTGGACACAGGGGGGCCTGGAGGGCATCCCAGCACATGGCTTGCCACTCAGGAGCTACCAGTGTCACTGCCGCAGCTGTGATATTCTGGCAGGACACAGAAGACCCCTCTCCCATCCTCCTGTCTACACAGTCTTCCAGCCACACCGCCCTTCCGTTCAGAGATGTAGATCAGCAGCTGCTGTGGGCCCCGTCCACAACCTCAACTCCAAAATTCTGACACTCCATCACAACAAATAGTAATATCACTCTCATGAGCAATTTTAAATAAGCAGCACTCCTGACGAATCTCCTGCATCTGAACTTTAAGAATGGTGAAGTTAAAACAAAATAAAAAAAAAGGACGATGAAGTTTCCATAATGCAGCTCTTTAAAAAAAAAAAAATTCACATTAGAAATAACTCTTGCAGGAGACCACGTGAGAGAACCTGAAGATGAGGCCCCTCTGGTCACTGAATGTTCTCAGTCCAAGGCGTGTCCCACTTCTACACGGCGTTTTGTGAAAAATGTCAGAAAGCCCAATCCAAAGCTTAAGCAAGACGTCATGAAGAATCAGGTGGGTTCCGCTTCCAGAAGGACCGCCCTTGAACTTCTCCTCCTCACTCAACTGAAGTGGCTTCAACTTCCTGCATCACAACCTACCCTGTAAGCCGATGGCCCACCTTCCCTCCAAGGCCTCCTGAACTGGTTCCTGCTCAGCTCCCAACTTCCACTCACGCCGTGCTCCCTTCCCTCATGGGGGCCTTTCTGGACTTCTACCAGTTCTTACACAAGCCAGTGCTCTCCCAGTACCATGGGGTCTCTATGGCTTCTCAACTTTCCATTCTTGCCTTTAAATCTCCTTCTTCAATGCGGCCTTCTCTGATGGCTCCATCTAAAGAGGTCCCTGTGTCAATCTGAACCGCTGAGTGCTACTCAGCAGTTTGTAATGATATGTTTTCCGTGGCCACTACACCCTCCATTTCATGAAAGTGGAGTGAGCTCTGGGCACTCCCAGTTGCCTTCTGGGGAGCCAACTCCAGCACCTGAGCCCACAAAAGGCTTTCAACACATGTGACAAATTAACTGAATGATCATATCCTTCCCTTCCTCAATGCTACCCAGTGATGTTGAACTCCTATAGAAATTAGGAGGGGAGAGGAACAAGAGCTCCCTGGCCCAAGACCACGTGGCTGAATCACTCCAGGAAAGAGCTGCAGAGGGCACCAGGTGACTGGGCACTGGAGTCCCGACTGGGATTGTTTGGGACACCAAATTTAGTTGGGTACCCCTCAAAGCATGACAATAAATGCAAATATGTTCGACACCTCATAATTTTTATTTTTTCACTAAATAGATCTAGATTTCTTTGTGTTTACCCTCAGTGTGCAAAAGTCTGTGGGTTTTGAGGCCAGATATAATTTTGAAAATTCAAAAAGACTACAACATGCATCTGAGGAACTGCAGACAAACTGTAAGCACGGGCTGGTGAAGCATTCCTGGCAGGCTCAGGGCTACAAAAACATGACCTCAGAACATAAGTGAGGAGTTTTACGCTTTGCAAACAGGAAGCTACATAGCTTTGAATAACCCAAACCCCTCAGAGTCTCAACTTGCTCAGTTGTAAAATGGGACCTGGAATGATGTCTCTCAAGAGGCTATTGCAGGAATAGGGTAAAAATTACCTAGAAAGATGTCGGGGAGACCATGTGTGCTGGTACCCCACTTTCCCACCAGTCCCCTCTAGTTCCTACCACTATTTGGAGCACTGAAGGCTGTTCCTGGGTCAGGCTGCCTCACAAAGGCACATGTGGGCACAGCCCCATCTGATCTGTGCCCTCCAGGGTCAGTGGTGTCAGTTTACCCCCAAGAGGCATCTATGGATCTGTCTCAAAGTCCACAGGGGTTCTTGTGAGACAGTGGCCACCAGGCAAGCAATCCAGTTTCCATGGATGAAAATGCTTTCTCAGTTTACCCTGAGAAGACCAGAGAGAGAGGCAGAAACAAAAGAGAGGGAGAGAGAAAGACAGGGCATGGGGAGAGTAGGGGAGAGGGAGGGATGAAAGAAGGGAAAGGCAGGGCGGAGGGGAGAAAGAGAGACAGGCAGAGATGAAGAGAAGTGGTTCTACTTCTGTCAGATGTCTCGAAGACAGGCAAAAGGATGAGATGCTGTTGCTACTGCTTCTCCTAACCTCTCTCCAGAGCAGGAGTTTTTAACTGGGGGAGACTATGCCCTGGGGAACATATGTCGGTGCCTAGAGCCATTTTTGATTGTCATGACTTAGGGGAGAAGGTCATAAGCACCCAATGCGTAGGGACAGGGATGCTGCCCAACATCCTCTGGGGCACAACCGGTTCACAGTAGAGAACTGCCATCAGTGCAGAGGCAGAGGGGGGCCTGCCCCGGGCCAAAGGGCTCCAGCCCTCCTGCAGGTGAAGGGAATGAGTAGCCTCTTTGCGTTCCCGGCCGAACCTGCCCTTGACAAGCATATCATATCTGCCAAGTTCAGCCCTCTGGAGCAGTAGTGGAGGCAGCAGAGGGGCCCAGAGCACAGATTCTGTCGCTAAGTTGTAGATAAAGGAGAGGGGACAGGGAAGTAGGGCTGGAGAATATTTTAAAAGAGAAAAGCGAGGAAAATGTTAGGTCAGGGTTTCCCTGACTGTAAAACACAGGAAGTCTTGCAAAAAGCAAATGCTTTCACTATGAAGCCAAATGTGCTCCTGGTTACTGAGCAGGCATAATCGATGACAGCCAACCCCACAGTCCACACTGCTGTCCTTTCAGTGAAGACTGGAAAAGGAAGCGCAGGAGAGAACAGGATTTGTGTGGAGACAGAGCCCAGCATTATGCAGGTCAGTACTGTTCCCTGAACTTGAGGGGCTGACCTAGGGTCCTCTGTGCTCTGTTTCGGATTCTGGACCTGTACTATCAGGAACAGGGCAATCCTGGTAACAAAAAGTTACTAGAAAGAAAGAAGCATATCAAGGAAAGTTACAAGGGGATTGTCAGAAGAAATAAAGAAGTCCTAAGAACTTTAGGTTGTTTTCATAGTTTTGAGAGCAAGTTTTGTTACTTATTTTCTTGCTCTGTCACCCAGGCTAGAGTGCAGTGATGCGATCTCGGCTCACTACAACCTCCGCCTCCCGGGTTCAAGCAATTCTCCCACCTCAGCCTCCTGAGTAACTGGGATTACAGGTGTCCGCCACCACACCCAGCTAATTTTTGTATTTTTAGTAGAGACGGGGTTTCATCATCTTGGCCAGCCTGGTCTCGAACTCCTGACCTCGTGATCCACCCACCTCAGCTTCCCAAAGTGCTGGGATTACAGGTGTGAGCCACCATGCCCGGCCTCAACCACCTTTTTAAGTGGAGGTACCATACAGCAGGGAGCCAGCACCTGACAGGACACCCCATTATTCCCATTTCCTGATTTTATCAAACAAGAAGAGAAAGAGATCTGGCTCTCTCTGCTTCCCAATAGTCTCAAAACTTCTAAGCACTGTAAGCAATGTTAATTACTTAGTTTTGAGGAACGACCAAGGTTATATAAGATACATCAGAGGAAGCTGGATGAGGTGAAGGATACACAGGAATTCTCTGTACTATCTTTACAACAAATACTTCAAAATAAAAAGTATAAAAACCTGAAAGACAAAAAGCAACTTTTTCTGAACATAATCCTCTCACTTTCTTGTGATCTTTCCAAATCACTGTGGCAGCTGGGAAGGCCAGGCTCCCAGCAACAAGCACACAGGGTAGAGACGGCTGCTTGTGGTCTTCACCCATCACCCATCACCAAGGGCACACTAGACATGCAGCAGCTGGGGTGAGCAAGAGAGGCTGGACAAAAGAATGCACTACCCCTCAGTGTTTTGAAATAAAAGAGATTCTATTATTTTGTGGCACAAAAGCAGATAGTTTCCCATTAATATCTTGATTCATCAGGTTGAGAAGTGATAAGGATAGTTCCTATTTCATAGATTTCCCACCTATAAAATCCCTTCAAACCTCAGGGAGGATGAAGACACGTGGAATCATCTATCGTGTTGGACATAATACACAAGTCATCAACAGAGTATTGTCCTTGGAAGATAAATGTCCTTCATCTGACAGTAATACAAATCAATGGGCTTCTACTGATACCATCAAGCCACTAACAAACAGGAAGTGTAAAAAAAAGCCAGTCTCTCTGGTTCTCATGATTCTGGAGAGAAAGGTAAAGCGATTCGTGTACATGGATTTTCTCCATCAACAAAAGGAGCCTGGGAGGAGCGGCTGAATCATCCTCACCTATCTCTCCTGTTGCTAGCTCATCACAGAAAATGTTAAAACTCATTTAGAGAGCTACTCATGAGAAATCTGGGTTCTCTTCCTATCACCTACTGACACACTTTTAGTTACAGATTTTCACTGTGAGCATGATAAAAATCCATAGACCACGGCACCCACCGGAGAGCCACAGCACTGAGAGCCAAGGGTAACTTACCATATTTGGCACGTTGGTGACTGAAGTATTCTTGATGTCTGTAGGGAAGGTGGGTAAACTGTTGACCATGCTCTGTTTGCTGGCTAACTGCGGGTTCACTCCAGTGGCTCCCATTGGCTGCCCTCCAGCTTGACTAAAGGGCTGTCCAAACGGACTTGTGTTCCCAGTTATTCCCATCTGAAACAAAAAGAGGTAACATCAGCTGTGGTGATACAGTCACATATAAAAGGAAGGGCCTGGGAAATGCTCACATGGTTTTCTATGAAATACTCATTGCAATGATAAATTCAAGGTTCATTTTCAGGTTCACACGCTCCAAGCAGAAGGCTCATGAAGCTGCTCCTAGCAGCCACTCTCTCCTCACCCTAAACCCCATCCCAGAAGAAGCCTAGCTGTTTCCCCCCACCCTCAGCCACTCTCCTCACTTAACCCCTCCTGCCCCAACAACGGCACCAACACCTGAAGAAAGTCATTTGGAAAACAAAACTTTCCAAAGTTGATACCCAAGGGGAATTCTTTCAGTTTAATCCTTAATTACTCTATAAGTATCTAGTTTCTGTTAGGTTCCCCATCAGACTGGAACTAAGTTTCCATTAGTTCAAAACAGGGAGTGGAAATCTTGCAATGAAATGATACAACACCTGGGATCTTCTTTAACATACACTTGACCCATGAGCAACATGGGTCTGAACTGTGTGGGTCTACATATATGGACATAGCTTTCAAGCTCTCCTGCTCCCCTTCAACCTCCTCAGCCTCTGCCACCCAAGAGATCAAGACCAGCCCCTCCTCATCCTCTTCAGCCTACTCAATGTGAAGACCACGAGGATGAAGACCGTGGCGAAGACCCACTTTCACTTGGTGAATGGTACATATTTTCTTTTCCTTAATGGCTTTTTCTTTCTTTCTTTTTTTAATCGAGACAGCGTCTCGCTCTGTCGCCTGTCGCCTAGGCTGGAATGGAGCGGTCTCGGTTCACTGCCAACCTCTGCTGCCTGGGTTCAAGCGAGTCTCTTGCCTCAGCCTCCTGAATAGCTGGGACTACAGGAACAACACGCCACCACGTCTGGCTATTTTTGTATTTTTAGTAGAGACGCGGTTTCGTCATGTTGGCCAGGCTGTTCTCAAACTCCTGACCTCGGGTGATCTGCCCACCTTGGCCTCCCAAAGTGCTCGGATTACAGGCATGAGCCACTGCGCCCAGCCCCTTACAATTTTCCTAATAACATTTTCTTTTCTCTAGCTTACTTCACTGTAAAAATACAGTATATAAGACTTAAAACATGAAATTTGTGTTAAGCAACTGTGTATGCTATTGATAAGGCTTCCGATCAACAGCAGGGGATTAGTAGTAGTTAAGCTTTTATGCAGTCAAAAGGTTATAAGCAGATTTTCGACTGGCAGGGTCAGCACCCTTAACCCGAGTTGCTCAAGGGTCACCTCTAATTCACTGGGCAAGAGGAGGTGGTAGGAAAAGGGCACAGATGGAGAGAGCCTGGTAAGGTACTGATCATCATTAACCAAGCAGTAGGCGATGGGTACACAGAGGTTACAGTATCCTACCACTGTACGTGTGTAAAATTTATTTATTTATTTGTTTTTGAGAGTGTCTCACTCTGTCACCCAGGCTGGAGTGCAGCGGCATGATCTTGGCTCACTGAAACCTCCACCTCCCAGGTTCAAGCAATTCTCCTGCCTCAGCCTCCTGAGTAGCTGGGATTATGGGCTCGTGCCACCACACCTAGCTAATTTTTGTCTTTTTAGTAGAGACAAGGTTTCATCATGTTGGCCAGGTTGGTCTCGAACTCCTGACCTCAGGTGATGTGCCCACCTCAGCCTCCCAACATACTGGGATTACAGGTGTAAGCCACTGCACCCGGCCTAAAATTTTCCATAACGAAGTTTTTTATAAAATTAAAGTGAACTGAAATCAAATATATAGTAGATAAAGGCAGGATAGGGAAAGAGGAACCCTCAGCAATGTTTCCGTGAGGGCCTGCAACCAACTGGGATTCCTTCCATCAACAGACGTGGGCCAAGTTCCCTGATGACCCCCAGTTCCAGCCTCCACAGGTCAATTCAGGAATTGCCATGGCAATACCCCAGTACCTACCTTTCTCCCTGTGGAGGAACAAAGGCTAATTAAGAAACCAGATGCTTGGGCTGCCTGTCTTTGTTTTTTCTCAAAGCTCTAATATTCCACCTTCTGTCTATTGTGTTTTCTGCATTTCTGGTGTAGTGGTCAGTTTGATGGACTGGGAAAGGTCCCCACATACGGAAAACCTCCCAGGGGTGAGTTTCCAGTCAAGAAATCATTGCTCAGTTCTCTCCCTCAGCCTCACCTGGTGACTGCCACGCCAGCATGTCCACTCTGGGTAACTTACATTCCTTATATGGACTTCAATCTCCTCGCCTGTAAGATGAGTGTCTTCAACAAGATGGATCGCGTTATTTCTTTCAGCTCTAAAAGTCTAGGCTATAAACAAATCAACACTCAACACAACTGGCCCTTTCTGCTGAAATGCTCGTACAAAAACACAAATAAAAACTAAAGGAGTAAAACCAGAAAGTTCTAGCTCTATGCATTTCATACACAGGTGATTTACTTCCACATGTAGTCCTCCTAGGTGACATTTCTCACCTTTTTGAAAGCAATCACACTCTAGTCACCACTGGGTGCTCTACTTAAGTGAACTGAGACGCTAATTCTTCACCAAATCCACAAACCAGACTCACTTTCGAGTTCAAGTGACTTAATCAAGGCAAGATGGTAGCTCAATAAATATTAAGCACATTTCTGATTTGCAAGAAGCTTCCTTCAACTGTCATCTGAAACTTAATTGAAGCAGGAATTTATATTTTCAGAAACTACTACACTAAATTAATTCCATGGGACAATTACTACTCTCAGAATTTGTCTTATTATGTATAACAAAACTGCTGAAACATTGTTCTCAGAAGCTTAGAATTTGAATACAAGAACACGAACAACAACAAAAAATACAGTGTTTTTTTTTTTTTCCAGTTCCTAAATTTCTCACTTTGGACAAAATATGACAGAACACATATACTCATCTTCCCTCAATCAATTCATCCTCAAAGTCAACTGGTATTCACCAAGTGCCTGCTATGAGCCAAGCCCAGTTCTGAGGTTGTGTAGACGCATTTCCCACTTGTCATAGAGCTCCCACCTTGTGTCCACCAATTTGACAAACAACAACAACAAAATCAACGTCTTTTGGAAGTTTCTAATTAATTAGGCCCAGCATTGACAAACCAAAGTGGGTGACAGCTGATGGGGTGGGGAAGGGGACAGGTAACCATCTTCTTTCCACACCAAATGCCTAGGTACCCTGGCTCCAGAGAAGAGGGGACAGTACCAAAAGGCCAGCGCACTCTGAAAGGTGTTCCATGGACCTCAAACTTCACCTGACTTGCTTCACAAAGTTTATTTTCAAAACTTCCCAGATATTTTGACAATTTTCCTAAGATAGCCCTGCCAGGGTGAGTATGAGGTGTATGTGTGTGATCAGGTGGGTAATACTTGCCTGGCCTGGGGCCCTTTTCTAATTGGTCAGTGTTGTTTATCTTGTGTGTGTGTGTGTTTTTTTGTTTTTGAGACACAAGTCTCGTTCTGTTGCCTAGGTTGGAGCGCAATGGCATGATTTCAGCTCACTGCAACCTCCGCCTCCCAGATTCAAGCAATTCTCGTGTCTCAGCCTCCTAAGTAGTTGGGTTTACAGGCAGGCGCCACCATACCCAGCAAATTTTTGTATGTTTTAGTAGAGACAGGGTTTTGCCATGTTGACCACACTGGCCTCGAACTCCTGGCCTCAAGTGATCCATGCACCTCAAGCCTCCTCAAGTGTTGGGATTACAGGCATAAGCCACCACCCCCGGCCATAACTGGTCAATTTCAAAGGGCAACCCAGTATTTGGAAGCGCTCTGACAGATTTCATCAGCAAACGTGTCTGTACCTTTTCTTCTTGGCCATCAGATAAGACAGCCAAGGAAATAGTCTCACCAAGTTTTTACCTTGATTCTCACAAGGTAAAGAACGGTATGTAAGGAACGTCCAGCCCAAAGGGATCTACATAATTCTCAAAAATAGGGGGAAAAATCCCGTCCTTAGCCTATGATAAAAACAAACAAAACCCAGGTTATATGCAGGAGGTTAGGATTCAAATCTCTGGCACCAGGGCCAGCCCCAGCCTCTCCTTCTCAGAGCAAGTTACTAACCAGGCTAAAGAGGTCAGCTCTCCCACAGGGTATGACTGCTCATTGCCCAGGCAAGGCTACCTCCTGGTGCCAAACCATCTCCTGGCAGAACTCAAGAGCCATGAACTGGTCCTAGGCTGCAGTTATGAATAAAAACCATTTGCTTCTAGAGATTCTAGATTTCTGAATTCCTAGTCTATATCTATTCTCCATTAATCAAACTGAGCGCTGTGGTCCCCAAGCCTAGGCTAACATATACTTTTTAGGACCAATGCCCAAAATGAAATACTAACATCAAGATGTCTAACTCTAATTAATGAAAATCTACATTTCTTTAAATGTCCCAACAGGTACTTGATAATAATTTGGTAGGTCAGGTGCTCATACCTGTAATTCCAGCACTTTGAGAGGCTCAGGCGGGCGGATCATTTGAGGTCAGCAGTTCGAGACCAGTCTGTTCAACATGGTGAAACCCCATCTCTACTAAAAACACAAAAATTAGCTAGGCACGGTGGTACATGCCTGTAATCCCAGGATGAGAGAGAATAAACTGCTTGAACCCAGGAGGCAGAAAATGCAGTGAGTCGAGATCTTGCCAATGCACTCCAGCCTGGATGACAGCAGGAGACTTTGTCTCAAAACAAAAAAAATTTTTTTTTTTTTTTTGTAAAGTTGGCTTTATTTTCAACGAGTTCATCAGGATTTGGTTTAATGCTGCTAGAGAACCTCTATATAATCTTTTAAAAAGTTTTTTCATTTTTAATTTTGGGAGGTACATAGTAGGTATATATATTTATGGGTTACATGAGATTTTCTTACAGGCATGCACTGTGTAATAATCACATCCAGGTAAATGGGGTATCAATCACCTCAAGCATTTATCCTTTGTGTTATAAACAATCCAATTACAGTCTTTCAGTTATTTAAAAATGTACAATTAAATTACTTTTGAATAGTC